CATGACGTTGCAGAAAAGGAATTGCCACAGGTCGAAGAATTCTGATCCCTGTAGCCCACACCAGTTAAGTTGCCCTGAACAATCACCAAAGGAGTTCTTTGGCGTGCTGTTATTCCACCCCAAATCATCACGGAACCACCACCAAAGCGATTCCTCTCCAAGACACAGGCCTGTGCATAACGTTCTCCCACGCGTCTATAGGCACGTTGACGTCCATCACTATGGGAAATGCTAAACCTGGACCTATCTGTAAAAACAACATTTCTCCACCAAAACAAGGGTCTACGGACATGATTTCGGCACCACATTCGGCGAGCTTGTCGATGACGTTGTGTCAGGATTGGCCGTAGGGCGGGACGTTGTGGTCTGATCCCGTCATGACGTAAACGTTGTCGAACTGTGTTGGGGTGGATTCGGCGAAGTCCTGGGATGGTTCGGGCAGTCATCACCGCAGTCTGAAACCTGTGGCGAAGATGGGTCACCCTTATCCATCTGTCCTGTTTTGGCGTTGTTACACGTGGACGTCCAGAACGTGACCGATCGATGACGTCATTTGTGTTCTGGTAGCGTCTCCCCAGTGCAGAAATGGTGTTCCGGTGGCAGTGGATCGCAAGGGCAGGGTTTGGGCTTTCCAAAGTGACAGTATTGTGTGGCATTCATTTGCTCTGTTTCTCTTTCCCGGAATGCACGTGCAACAACGTATTGCACGTATCAAGGACGAACCCACTGTCGTCACGGAACGTGACGCGTGCATGCATGTTGGATACATGTCACTAGTCTCTAAGTTTAAATCCTTATGTGTCTACACAGGTTTGATAAATTTAGATTATAAATTTTTGTATGCACAGTTTCTTTATGTGCCTAGTATATATACATTTGGTAAAAGATTCCACTGTATCCTGATCAGTGTGAGTATTAAGGTAGGCACGTCGTCATATGAGCGAAATATTCTCAAGCACGACGTTAAACCCAATTTCACCTCACCTCACCTCATTAAGGTAGGCAAATATTTATATTGTGAGCAAAGGTCCTCCCCTGTGAAAATTGTGGTGGGCAGAGTAAGTGAGTGAGTATGGTTTTACGCCGCCTTTAGCAATATTCCAGCAATATCACGGCAGGGGACACCAGAAATGGGCTTCGCACGTTGTACCCATGGGGGGAATCGAACACAGGGATTCGGCTTAACGAGCAAACGCTTTCGCCACTAGGCTAACACACCGTCCCCTTAGTTGACAGTTGTCCTCCTGTGGGGGTACGTAAGTCCCAAAGCATTCAAGATAAATTTTGTACTCACCGTATGTTCTAAACGTAGAACTTTTGTAATTTTATATTATGGCTAGATTTGCCTACAAAATCGCCAGTGGCTAAAGGGATGGTATAAATTCAGCTAGGGTCCATGCAGGTAGCAAAGGTACTGTAAGTCCCCATGGTCCCTAGTATGGTGATCTATCTCCAGTTGCTGGTGATATATAGCCCGTTCTTATATTGTACTGTTGTCTCTTGTGATATATTTTTATGATAGCGTACTAGTTTTAAATTAAGAGCTGTGAGTTTCTAGTAGTTTTACTGTCCTTCGATGACAGGTTTTTACGTTATAAATTTATTGATTTGAATATCGATATAAACTGTTCTCTTCGCGATATGGCCGCAATATTGCCGAGTTTACCTAACCAATTCCAGTTTTACCACACTTTCTACAACCTAAAGTTATACATACATGGAATCTAGGAATGGTAAACACAATTAACACTTAATATGTATGGGATAATTACCTGCAGGAAGAGAGAAACAACAAGCATTGTCACAGAGGTGACATGATCCCCCGCCGCAAATTATCAAATCAAACTTATAAAGTTAAATGTCAACAAAAACATGACAAGTCAATCTCTCTTGATATCTTGCTCTTTAGTGTTCAAACACACACATATTTTCAAGTCTAACTTTGACCTTGACATGAATGTCATAGTGTATGAAATAAGCAAAACTAGTACTAAAGACATTGCTTTTGGAAAAACATTTAAGGGAAGTCTTGAAAGTCTTTGAAGAAAATCCAGTGAACTGTTTTTGAAATATCTTGCTGACAATTCAGCTTAACATGCTGAAATCTTCAAAATGTCTCTGTGACCTTGAAAATTAAGTGAAGGTCACTTAATCGATAATCGACTGGGCCCTGCGCCTTCCCTGGATGAAGCTTGGTGTCAAATATGAAGAAACTCCAGTGAATGGTTCTTGAGGTATCTTGCTGACAAGCATAACCTCCAGGTTAATATGCTGAAATCTTCAAAGTGTCTCTATGACCTTGACAATTAAGCGAAGGTCACCAAAATTGACAGGGCCCTGCGCCTTCCCTAGATAAAGCTTGGTATTGAATATGAAGAACATCCAGTGAACGGTCCTTGAGATAGCTTAACATGCAGGTAAAACGTAAAGTCCCCTTGTGACCTTGAAATGCAGGTCAAGGTCATCAAACCTGACTCGGACCTTTGTTATACTGTGATGAACCTAGGTACCAATTATGAAAGAATCTAGTGAACGGTTCTTAAGATATTCCAATTCGTACGTACGGACGGACGGACGGAGCCTAATACTATATTCCCCGCTCGCGCTAAACCCGCGGCGGGGGATAACAAAACAAGTGTTGAGCGTCACTCCAGTTTACTGAAGAAACATGGCGGGATCCGCGGTAACAAGGATGGGGCCCCGTAGACGTTACATCATTAGGCCGGTTGGTTGCTTTGTTTTCATCGCTATATAATGGCTGTAATATTGCTCTCTCTCTCTCTCTCTCTCTCTCTCTCTCTCTCTCTCTCTCTCTCTCTCTCTCTCTCTCTCTCTCTCTCTCTCTCTCTCTCTCTCTCTCTCTCTCTCTCTCTCTCTCTCTCTCTCTCTCTCTCTCTCTCTCTCACACACACACACACACACCTTAGTTGGGAGAGCTCCCGCGAGCAAAGTTCCTTGTGCGCAAAGTTCGCAGATTTCGCTTGTTTGGTACTTCATTTCATCTTACGCATACTTCAAGTGGCATGTGAACCAGCAAACGTGGTTGTAATCCTACTGTTGCTACTCATTGTGTCTGGTGATATCGAACGTTACCCCGGACCAGTCCATGATAATACAGGTAATAATGATTTTTTTCCTCAATTAATGAAGACTGACTGAGTTTGGTTTTACGCCGCTTTTAGCAATATTCCAGCAACATCACGGCGGGGGACACCAGAAATGGGCATAACACATTGTACCCATGTGGGGATTCGAACCCGGGTCTTTGACCACTAGGCTACCCCACCGCCCCCAATTAATTAAGAGTGACCCGACATGATTACATCATTCTAAAATTGCCATGGTAACTGTCTTAGTCTAAGTCTTAGCTAAGATTTTGCTGAGAGAGTTTCATGATCCAGTCTTATCTAAAATCTTAGCTAAGCAAATGTTTTTAGACTTAAGATTCTTTCATGATCCCGGGGGCCAGCGTCTTAATCCCCTAAAACCATGCCGTTGTCCCAACATCAAACATCAAAGGATTTTTTCCTCGACCTAACTTACGGGACTACCCCCTTTGACGTGTCCGTGGAGCATGATGCAAACTGCCATGGATTAATTCATGCACAATGATGAATTTGAGGCATTTATTTGCAAAGCTTACGATAATTTTAAAGTAGAGTATTTAAGGCAGTAAACATATCTAAAACGAGCATCTTGAAAATACACTAAAACAATTATTGAATAAGTGAGGAGACGATTAAGAGCAGAATTGTGTGTATAAACATCACTGAAAAATAAAAACATTGGATTCCTTGCCAACCAGTGTTATTCACATTGAATTTTCTATGCAAAAAAGTTTGTTTCTCTATGAATTTTTCAAATATAGCTTGTTTCTTCATTAAACTTCGTTATAAAAACAAAATGCTACAAGCAGAACTGATATTGTTAACTTATTGTTAACCTTTATTTGATGCATGGCACTTTTACTGAATGGTTCCAGTTTCCAGTGAAAATGGGGAATTCCCCTGATCAGAGTGAACAAATTCAAATCAGAAGGTTTCAACCTAAAACAACCAGAAAGCGGACCTTGGGGCATTGTTACAAAAACAGAACATTGCAGTTCCTGCTACAGACAATAAGCCCCAACTCTGTGATATCTTTATTACATCAAATTCCATACGGAATTAGGGATAGCATATTCATAAACGTGTGCAGCGTAATTGTTTCATATTTTTGTTTACCAATTTGAGTTAATTATCATTTCTTTGGTGTCTCTTAACGCCATTTGGAACAGCATTTGAGTTGATGTGAGGAGTGAGTGAGTGAGTTAAGATTTTAAGTCACATCGGCAGTATTTCAGCCACATCGTGACTATATCAAGTTATATATTAACAATATTTATAGGTAAAGTATAAAAACCTGCCACCGAAGGACAGTAAAACAACTAGACTATCACAGATACATATTGCAAAACTAGTAATGAAACTTAAAACAGTTTAACCATACATGACAAGACAATATAGAAATAGGCTATAGATCGCCAACAACTGAAGGTAGATCACCATACCAGGGACCATGGGGACTTACAGTATCTTTGCTACCTGCATGGACCCTAGTTGGATTTACACCATCCCTTCAGCCGCTGGCGATTGTAAGAAATGTTATCCAAAAATATAACAAAAATACTACGTTTAAAAACCCTGGTTAGTTAAATTGACTTTGATAATTTTAGGACTTACCTACCCTCTCAGAAGGACAATAATTTACAATACTTCAACCCTCCTTGAGGGAGCTGATGTGAGGAGGAATCGCAAAGTCTGTGCCATTTATGATTAAATGAAAGCTTACAAGTTACCAATCAGGTGCAGTACAATAAAGATGCAGTGCAATAATGATTTCATACAACACCGAAGATAACAAATGCTTCTTTCCGTCAAGTGAATAACACTGGACTAAGATAGAGGAGAACACAAACGTCTCTGATAACAAACAGCAACAAGATCTACATGGCGGCTTACCTTTGGTTTTAAAGTCCGCAACAGCTTCTTGTGTTGAATTCACTGCTATGCCCCCTGTAACTTCAGCAATTGCATACGTCTTGTATACTTCAAAACATAATAGCTATTATGAGAACAAAATGAAACCAGAAACACGTTTGAAAAACGGTCATTTCCTCAATGCCGCCGGAAGTACTACGGACAATAGTGTAGTCACAGAGTATTGAGGATCTATACTACCCATCAAAAATTTAGACACACTTTAAAGGACTCACTATATGTTATGTATATATGTATGGTTACATCGAAGATGAATCTATCCACAAACTTGGGGGAACCAACTGCAAACCTTATGCAAATGAACTGCACGAGGATCATGCATCAAATTGCTGAAAGGCATATGCAAATATCGTGCATGTGAACAGCTGCATTTTGGTGTTTTTGCAACAATCCATGTAGATTCAAACGCCAAACCGAGATTCTACAAGGCACGCCCAGTTCCTTACTAACTGAAGAAGAAGGTGGATGATGAACTTGATAGACTATTGAGTGATGGCACAATTGAACCAGTTCAATTCCCGGAGTGGGGCCACACCTATCGTACCCGTGCTGAAAGGAAATGGACAAATCAGAATTTGTGGAGACTATAAGACAACAGTCAACCAAATTTCTATGTTGGATCAGTATCCAGTTCTGAAAATCGAAGATCTCTATGCGGAACTTTCAGGTGGAAAGACTTTCACGAGGATTGATCTTGCCAGCTGCCGCTAGATGAAACATCAAAACAGTATACCACTATCAACACTCACCGTGGACTATTCCGCTATAACAGACTACCGTTTGGCATCTCTTCTTCACCTGACATATTCCTGAGATATGTCGACAACCTTTTGAAAGGAGCTCCTTTGTCATGTGGTTACCAGGATGACATTATCACATCAGAGAAAGATGACCCTGAATGTGCAGAACGTCGATACAGTTCTAGGAAAACTGTCAGCTGCACGAATTCACGCTTACAAGGAAAAGTGTGTTTTCCAAGCCAAGGAAGTGACCTACTTGGGTCATCGGTGTAGTGCAGAGGGACTCCACCTAGTACTCAACAATGTCGAAGCTATATCCAACGCACCTCCTCCGACAATTGTGTCTGAACTAAAGTCCTATCTCGGACTTCTCAATTATTATGGGAACTTTCTCCCAAATCTGTCTAGTGTGTTGGCACCCTTGTACAAACTTCAGCGGAAAGCTGTGAAATGGACATGGGGTCATGAACAAAAGCAAGCTTTTCGTGAATCAAAAGAACTATTGAACTCATCACAGCTGCTTGTTCATTATGATGCTAATAAGGACCTAATATTAACAACTCATGCCTCTCAATACGGCTTAGGAGCCGTCCTTTCTCATGTGATGGAAGATGGTACACACAGACCGATCTCCTTCGAAAGAGGCCTTATCCATGATCTTCGGAATCAAAAGATTCAACTCGTATATATATGGACGTCATTTCCATATCAGCAATGATACCAAACCCCATGAAACCCTCTTCAGTGAGAAGAAAGAGGGAACTACAACTGCTTCAGAGATGGGCGCTGATACTCTCAGCATATGACTATTCAAGCCGTTACACACCAGGTAACAAGGATTGGGGGGACATACTTGCCTTTGTATGTGTATATGATTCCCACTGAACGGTTCTTTGTTAGTGCTACTTATTGCTTATAATAAAACTCCACAGGAAATAGTTGGGATATGGTGTTATCTCCTCGAGACCCGACACCGTTCTGTGTCTTTATGAAATGTCGAATTATACTGGGAGTATTGGATTTGATAAATAAAAAACCGTTTCATTGTGATCTTTTTGTTGTTGTCTCAGTGAAATCTAGCGAAATATACCAGAAGTGAAAACGAATGCCGTGCTGGGAAGAACCACATGTTAGGAATGTAAACAAAGCCAAGCTCAGATTTTACACTGTTTATCATTTTCTCCTACTGTGAGAGATCCGTTCGTCTACTCGTTGCATACACTTGCTCATTCGTTTTATAACAAGCATGGAATGAAACAACGAAAGTTTTCTTCCAAATTTCCGGTGTACTCGTGTCGGTGAACATGCATTTTAGTGAAAGTCGCTTCCCGATAGTGATGTCATATCATGTACATCACCGTTGTTATACATATTTGGTATTTTCATTGAGGTGAGGTTTATGAATGAAAAAACACACGATCAATCTGTCCTGCTGCTTACATTTTCAGTTCTAATACTTTTTTCGTATTTTTACACACTTTTTTCACGTGATTATTTTCAGTATTAATATCTTTTGCTTTGGGAAAAGACAGGAAACCAATTGGCACCAATTACGTCATAATCAAAGGGGGTAAGTCTGGCCTGTTTAGCTCGGCAAAAAAAGGCCTCATAATGGCATAACATTTCAGCACTTATATTGAGGGTTATACCTTCATTGAAAGGAAAATGAGTGTATATTTTCAAGTATTGGTATTAACTAATCAAAAATTACATTTTGTTTCACATAAGAGAAAAGCGTGATGTTTTCGTGTACACTTCCCCTTTAAGAGCATCACATATCAACCATGGGACTGTGTTCCTTCCGTCTTGGCCTTTAGTTTTCTGTTTGGATTCGACCTTTAATGGCGATGTTTGGTCGGAACTCTTTGACATCTAATTTTCTGCACCCTTTGCCTCCTTGATTTCATTATCTATTCTAAATTCTGTAAGAGTGAGTGAGTGAGTTAATATATTTAACGTCACATCGGCAATATTTCAGCCATATCGTGACGAGAACATTTGACATTTAAATAGAAAATATATACAGATATTATAAAAACCTGCCGACGAAGGACAGTAAAACAACTAGAATATCACAGATATACATGTAAAACTAGTAATTAAATCTAAAACATTTTAACTTTAGGGGACAGCACAATATAAAAATAGGCAATAGATCGCCAACAACTGAAGGTAGATCACCATACTAGGGACCATGGGGACTTACATTACTTTTGCTACCTGCATGGACCCTAGCTGGATTTACACCATCCCTTCAGCTGCTGGCGATTGGAAGAAATGTTAGCCAAAATTAAAAGAACAAGAATACTACGTTTAAAAATCCTGGCAAGTTTAAATTGACTTTGAAAGTTTTGGGACTACACGTACCCTCTCAGGAGGACAATAATTTTACGTTACGTCAACCCCCTTTAAGGGTACAGCCACTAACAATCTCAGTTACTAATAGAAACTACCAACAATATAATATTTAACTATTTACAGATCAGTCCACAAATCTAATTCTTTTAAAAATTCAACTATTAAATGATAATTAACATTATAAAAAAGATCCTTCAATGTCTTGACATTAAAATATTTATCCCTTGTGATGGAATATTCAACAGTCAAGCAGGACATGCTTGACTGTGATTCTTTCATCACAAGGGATGCAAAACGGAGGGTCTTTGCCTTTCAGTAAATATTGGTGAGTATATCTAGTGTGGCCAATGCGACATCGTCGCATAATGACCTCTTCAAATCTGGACTGACAACCCAAGTAGGTGAAACCAATGTAGGGTTTTATTGCATGTAATTTATTAATACCTACTTGGGTGTCCCACTTCTTTTGCATTAGATCGCGGATGTATGTTCTAATGCTGGCTTTATAATCAGAGTATGGGATAAGAAGTGGTGTCACAGATTTGTTGAGTGCTGCCTTAGCAGCAAGATCAGCCATTGTGTTCCCAGAAATGCCAACGTGGCTGGGTAACCAACAAAAGACGATGTCGCATTGGCCAGTAGCAAGATCATTATATAATTCAATAATTTCTAATAAAAGTGGATGTTTACAAGAAATATTTTTAATAGCCTGAAGGCAAGAAAGTGAGTCAGAAAAGATGATATATTGTTGATATTTAGGGTGATTTTTAATATAGTTTAAGTCTGTTAATATGGCGTTTGCTTCTGCTGTAAAAATAGAGCTGTTATCTGGTAATCGAGAGGAGATTGTTCTGGATCCAATGACAGTGGCACAAGCCACCGCGCCACAATCCTTGGACCCATCTGTAAATAAGGATTTGTGAGTATTATAATTATTTTTTAATTGATTATATTCTTGTTTATATTGTAAGTCATTAGTTACAGATTTCTTAAACTTTGTCAGAGTTAGGTCAACTTCAGGCCTCACCAGTTGCCAAGGAGGAGAAGAAAGAAGACGAGAAGGAGCTATATTTTCCAGCTCAATGCCGGCAGCAGAAATGAAGGGCTTAATTCTGTGCCCAAGAGGCGGAACAAGAGAAGGTTTTTTGGTGTATAAATCCTCATAGAGGAGATTGAAAACACAGTTAAATGCAGGGTTAGACTCGCTAGAATATAGTTTAGTAATGTATTGTAAAGATAATTTTATACGACGTTGTGAAAGAGAAGGCTCATCTGCTTCAACATATAGACTATCAATAGGAGAGGTTCTAAAGAACCCAAGACAAAGTCTTAGGCCTTGGTGGTGGACAGAATCAAGTAGTTTTAGGTTGCTTTTGCAGGCTCCATCATATACGATGGAGCCATAATCAAGTTTGAAGCGTACCAATGATCGATATAGGTGGAGGAGCGTAGCTTGATCCCCTCCCACTTTGAGTTGGAAACACCTTTCAACAAATCGAGTGCCTTCAGGCATTTGGCTTTAAGTGATTTTTAAGTGAAAAAAGTTAAATGGGAGTCGAAAATTAGACCGAAAAATTTGGCCTCCTTAACAACTTTGATGGGAGTGCCATTTAAAGATAGTTCTGGATCTATATGCGTCTTATTTTTTCTACAAAAGTGTAGACAATTAGTTTTGGACTTGGAAAATTTAAAGCCGTTTTCAAGACACCATTTATTTATTTCATTTAAACACAACTGCAATTACCGTTCAATAGTATGCATATTTTTACCACGACAAGAAATATTAAAATCATCCACAAAAAGTGATCCATCGATTGAATCGTTTAAAACCTTTGATATACTGTTGATCTTGATACTAAATAAAGTGACAGACAAAATACTGCCTTGTGGGACACCCTGATCCTGATTGTAATGATCAGACAGGGTTGAACCAACTCGGACTTGAAATTGTCTGTCTTTTAAAAACCGTGATATAAAAAGAGGCAAACGGCCCCTTAAACCAAAATCATGTAAATCCTTTAAAATGCCATGCTTCCAGGTGGTATCGTATGCTTTCTCCAGATCAAAGAATATCGATATGGCATGTTGTTTATTTATGATTGCATTTTTAACAAAGGATTCTAATCGTACCAAATGATCAATGGTACTTCGATTTTTCCTGAAACCACATTGAATATCTGTAATAAGGTTATTGGTTTCAAGATACCAAGTTAATCTATTATTCACCATACGTTCCATGGTTTTACAGACACAGCTAGTTAGAGATATCGGTCTGTAATTAGACGGATCTGTATGATCCTTGCCAGGTTTGGGTATTGGGACTACAATGGCATTACGCCATGCAGGAGGAAATTCTCCAGACGTCCATATTTGGTCAAATATATCTAAAAGTGTCATCAGACATGGTTCAGGTCAGTGTTTCAGTAGCTGGTAATGTATATTGTCATCACCCGCTGCAGTGTCATGAGCTTGCTCAAGAGCAGTATGTAGCTCATGTAATGAAAACACTTTATTATAATCTTCACCGTTATGAGATGCAAAATTAAGTTTTGTCTTTTCCTGTTGCTTCTGATATCTCTGAAACTCAGGGACATAATTTGCCGATGATGAATTTTTGGCATGAGTTTCGCCAATTTTATCTGCAATTTTAGATTTGTCAGTTATTAAATTATCGCCATCTTTAAGATGGTGTACAGCTGATTTTGAACCTTTGCCTTTTATTCGCTGAACAATGTTCCAAACCTTAGACATTGGCGTTCGTGAATTAATTTTGGAGACATAATTTCTCCAAGATTGTCGTTTGTTGTGTTTAAAGGTACGACGCGCCGTTGCATTGAGTATTTTAAATTTATTTAAGTTATGGACAGTTGGATGATGGCGGAAATAACGCTCGGCCTTTTTCCTCGCTTTTCTGGCTTGTCTACAATCAGTATTAAACCATGGTTTTCGTACATGTAGAGTCGTAGAGGACTTTGGTATACACTCATCAGCTAATTCATTTAAAACGTCAGAAAAAGTTTGAATGGGATCAGTTATATCACTGAAAAAATCAGGTCGCAATTTCGATTTACAATTATATTGAAATGAAGACCAGTTAGCCTTCGAAACGTTCCATCTTGTGAACGATGGAGAATCAGATGGAGTTATTTCTGAAAGGATAGTTGGGAAGTGGTCACTTCCACACAGGTCATTATGAACAGACCAATGAAATTCATTCAGGAGGGTAGAATCTCCAACAGATAAATCCAAAGAAGAATAAGTGCCAGTTGCAGGATGCAGATAGGTGCTTGAATCATCATTAAATATGCACAGGTCATTATTGGAAATGAAGTCTTCAATTATTTTAGCGTTAGTATTAATGTTAGTACTGCCCCAGAGTGGATTGTGACCGTTTAGGTCACCCATGATAACACATGGCTTCGGGAGTTGATCATAGAGTGATTGAAGATCAGTCAGATGAAGTGTCGATGAAGGCGGAATATACAGAGAGCATAACGTAAATGCTACACCCAGAGTAAGTCGCACTGCAACAGCTTGGAGATTAGTGTTAAGAGTAACAGGGCTGTGTAACATTCTGTCGTATAAGGATAGTAAAACCTCCAGTGGCTCTATCACCTGGAGGGGAAAAATAATTATAGGCTTCAAACTGACGCAAATTAAAATTATCTGTCTGTTTCAGATACGTCTCTTGCAGACATAACGCTGATGGTGTTAAATCCTGGATTAATAGCTGTATTTCATTAAAATTTGTCCGGAGTCCTCTACAGTTCCACTGCACGATATTGGTAGATATACCTATCTTTTAGGCGGATTAATTGGGGATCTACCCCTGCACCGTTTTCGAGGGCGACAAGCTATGCCCTTAGAATGGACGTTTTCGGACACGTCCATGTCCTCAAGTGATCCGTATTTGTTAAATAACTTGATTTTATCATCTGACCCTTCAGGGCTCTGCCACTTTGCTTCTTTGAATCTGGCTTAAGTTTGCCTTTGTTTTAACGATTGGTTGAACGTTTGGCGTTGATTGAGATCTTTGAGTTGACTGGAGAAGTGTCACGGCCATAAGATGGTTCTGATTGGATTTAAGGGCGCACCAGGAAGTGGTTCTGCAGTTTGTAGTAGATATTGCAGGTGAGAATATCAGAGGAGAATCAGATTTAACCCAGGTCAAGTTTGTCTGACAGCATGCAGATGATTTTGTTATTCTAGTTGTCGCTTCTGACGGTGTTCTGGTGATAGAAGCATAGCCTCTTTATGCTCGAGCTTTGAACTAGTTTTTGCATCTGCAAAACTAATGTTTTGGGTGAATTTGATTTGATTTATCTCCATTTGACGTTTCCAAACAGGACAGCTTTTAGAGTAAGAGGAATGATCCCCTGCGTACAGTTTGTACATTTTTGACAGTACTGTTCATTAATCTTCTGTTGTATGTGTCTTCTCATCACGGTGAGCACATACAACGGACAATGTGCAAGTATTTACGCCATGACCGAACTTTTGACATTTGAAGCACCTGAGAGGGTTCGGGAATATACGTGTCAACATTGATGTTACAATATCCTGCCTTTAGAGATTTTGGAGCATTTGGTGTTGAAAATGAAAACAGGTAGGTATTTGTTTTTATAACAGTATCGTTTTTCCTGGTTGTGAAACGTTTGACATAGAGTACGCCTTGATCTTTGATCTCAGAGACGATGTCAAGTTCTGACATGTCAGCAAACAATCGATCCCAATCTCTGATAATTCCTTTGCTCGTGTTGAGTGTTTTGTGAGCTGAGAATGCCGACAAAAGAATCAATACTCATAAGGTTGGTGGCTTGGTGCCTCTTTGCACACTCAACCAGCAGAGCACCGGAACGTAATCGTTTAATGTTCTTAAAGTCACCAGCTATGCCTTGTATACCTTTAGCTACGGCAAAAGGATTCAACTTCAAAGGTGTCTTGTCAATAGTTTCAACACAAGAAAACGTGGCCAGTAATCAATTGAGTTGGGCAGTCTGAGGTCAGTTTCAACAGGATCAGTGTCAAGTTGACGCTTGGTCTTTTTTTGGTTTGTTTGTTTTGTTGTTTTGTTGTTGTTGTTTGGTTTGTTTTTGGAGGTAAGCCATGGTTAGTTAGTAAGATTTCATCATCCGAGCTCCCCACCCACCATGGAGTATCACAAGGACAATGCTAAAACAAGTGGATTTCCAACTTGAAGCAACCAAGGATACCCGGATGATATACTCCAGCAGAAGAATTAAAAGATTAATAATTCCACCAGATTGGCCCATGAGCCACCGCCGTCTGGGCATAAGACTCTAGGCAAAGTTCATGACAGTATATTTCAAAATTACAAACGTTTTAGATAAACAAGTAGGCCAAGACCGAAATTAAAACAATTCCAAATCAAATTGGTGCAATGACATATATATACATAGTCTATACACAGGGCTTGGCGTGACCAGCCGATTGGTAGAACCGGGCCAGTTCTACCACCCGTCTAGGTGAAGTAAGGGCCGAAGTGGTGTGTTGGGCAAAGGAACACTGTTCCTGGAACCAGTGCCCTCAACCACCAGAATCCCGTCCTCCACCGACACAGGGGCGCAACCCACGGCAAACGGGTTTGTGGACCAAATATCCCCCCGGGTCCACAACGGGGGGTCGAAGAGCGCTTAGCGTTACCCAGCACCCACAACGAGGAGGTGGCTCTTCACGGGTGCCAATTCTGTAAGAGGTTCAAATCTGATTTTCAACATGTCCACCACATACGCAACTTTGAAAAACATTTTGTGGTCATTCGTCAGCCACTTTTGTCAAAATCGAAATGAGTGAGTGAGTGGATTAGGTTTATTGCTGCTTGGTACAGCATACCAGTGTGTCAGGGTAATGTTGGAAGAAAGCCTCAATTGATGCAGGTCACAAATATTTCGCATATTGACGAAACCCCATAAGCAATGGTATCTTGCTGACAAACTAAGAACTATAGCTTTAGTCGAGTCATTGGACTAACTTGTGTACCTGAGGGACACAACTCTGACAAGCCAAATGTGGTATCTACAAGCCACTTAAAATAGTTGCCAGAAGATCTGATTTTCAAATAAATTCGGCATGACCACTGAAAATGTAAATTAACACGTACATATAAAGTTTTTCTAAGTATCAGCACTATGCCAGGAAAAGGGATTTTTTTTCTTGCATAACATAACAGCATTTAGGCACAGTTAGAATCTGCCCTTCGCATTAGTTTGCTCTTTAGGTATGTAAGAGTTCACAAGGTTAAGTAATATGTCTGAAAATAACGAGCAAACAAATCCTACTTTACAGGTTCACCGCTATATTCAATTTACGATTTCTAACGTAGTGGTATCCATCCATCGTCCATTTTTCAGTGCCGGTACTATTTCGTAATATATTTCGTTACCTTAAAAGCTATTTGCTGGGAATATATGATCGAAACATAGTATTCATAAGTCAAACTCACAGTCACTTGTCGGCCAAATGGATGTTGAAATACCCCACTGGAACAAGATCCCCACTTTTGGAAATCTCTCCGAGTGATGTTTGTACCTCTGTGGTGTTGGAAACCATATACATCAAAGCCCGGATAAGATGACAACAGTTAGTTGTGTCATGCCGTTTTCACTACATCTTGTTTAAAGGGACATAATCAGAGGTAAATCGAATCCTTTGTTTACACATCGATCCAGTTGATAAATTTTTCATAGACAAACTTACAAAGGCGCCCTTTCATCGCAAGCATTGGGACAGGCAATACAATGCGACTTGTGCTGTCGTGACATCGTATATTGATTGGCGTTATTCACGTCATACCGAGTAAAATACTGTTTGAGTGCGAACATGTTTCGAACGCTGACAGTGTTCACCAGTCGCGTCAGTTGCTGTCGTCAGGGCAACAATCACATGTAATAGGCTTCTCTGCCCAGTGACAGTTGAAGTTGGCTATAATAGGGTTTAGGACCTTGCGTTGTGTACTTTTTTTATGTGGTGATGGTCAAATAGGCTCTATGAATCAAGCCTTATTGCTGGTAAAAACATAAATTTAAAAGAGAAACTCAATAATTTATTTACAAAACCTAAACCTATCCTAACCTAACAACCTAACCTTATCTATACCTAAACAATCTAACCTAACCCCAAACCCTAATGAGACATGGCTCTGAGTTCAGAGCCTATGTCCAAAACAAATAAATATCTTAATTTCATATGTAACCAAAAAAAACCCTATATACTTGGTCTGGATTACCAGGACTCAAGCAGCTGAAATAAATGTCCTCACCTCTGGTGAACCAGTGGACTAAAGACAAGGAGTGCTGTGAAGCTACTCCCTTTATTGGGCTAGAGGCAGTCAGTGCATGTGCTGCACATGCCAGGCACAACCTGCTGGGTGTGTTGTGGCTATGCGTATCAGCATAGCCGAGAACACACTAATAACCCATGTTATATTATCCCAACCCCAAATAGAACTCAAACTTTACCCGAAATATCCTTAACTACCACACACAAAACAAAAGATCTCGAAATGAAATTCAATGTTCAGTTGGATAAACCAATATCAAAACTTATTGCTTGATATCCTTTTTCATTCGGTTTGTCCATTTCTAACATGTCAAATCAATATCACCACTTGGAGGAAAACGGAAACATTGATTCTACATTCTATTCCCTTGGACAAGTTCCAAATGCCTAATAAGGCTGTTGTAAACAATGCGTTCTGTTTGCTGACTGAAGTGCGAAATCGTAACCGAAGTTTGCCAGTAACATTAGAACATCGGTCAACTTCTCAGAATGGCGCCATTCAGAGTGGATCTCCAAAATGATTCACCAAAGAAGGTAGATTAGTTCAATGGCATTGTACAGAGGAATTAAGACTAATTTTGATGAATTGCAGATTTTTCGGACATTATTTTATATCGTCAATATTCAATCTAGGACAAATTGATCTTATTCAGATATTTAGCATACCAGTCTTCTCTTCCGGGTAACATGGAGTGAGAAAGTCATAACTTTACAAACGTCTTCCACAGTCAGAATTCATCACTTTTTGTCCCCCTCTAGCACAAAAAATAAAATATGTTCTTTCTGCTGCATAAATCTCGTCGTTTCATTTTACTTTCTCCTTCATGGTATTCAAGTCAAGTCAAGTCAAGTTTATTGTATTCAAGGCCTCCGGCCCATATACAAGGGGTTGCATACATATACATAACTACAGTACATAATACAATGGCAATTATAATGGTTATTGCTTAGATAACCTATCATTTCTCAAGACAACAGCATGCTTTACAAATAGAGAAAGGTTACGGATAACAGTTTCATTTCTGGAAGTGAGAATCGAGACAAAGGCTATCGTTGGATATTTTGATAGATAATTACTTGAAATATATTTTCTTCTAAGATCATCATAATATGGACATACAAATATAAAATGAATTTCATCTTCAATAGATGAAGTGCATAATGGACAAATTCTCATATTTCTTTCTATAGACAATCTTCTTCCTTTATTAATACTTAAATCTAATAAACCTAGTCGGAGCTGAACAAATGTGCGTCTGATATTTCTTGATGTCAATACAGATAAATATATTTCTGGTTGGATAAGGCTCTTAAAGGACCTATATAAATCATACCTTGAACCATTTTCGAGAGTCAAATGCCATTCTTGATGGACCATATTAACTGACTGTTCTCGGAAACGTTTAAGAAACAGAGTTACATTACCCACTGTCTGATTTAACCATGCAAATCCCAAAGCCATGAGAAAATAAAAGATTTCTAATATGTGAAGCCAAAGTTGTCTTGCCCATGTTATCAAGATGAACAAGCATATTATAAGCTATTTTAGGTATTCGTTGTTCATGCATTTCCAGAATCTTAAGCCAATACTTCAAACATCTGATTTGTGAATTTATATAAACTGGATATCTCCCACATTCCCCATAAACCATACAATTTGGCGTTGCTTGTCCAACATTTAGAAATCTTTTACAAGCTAAGATTAAGATTTTAAAATTCATCGTGTGAGAAAACAAAACCAAGGTAGGTATAGTGATTAGCGATAGTCAGTAACTTGCCATTGAAAAACCATTTCTCTTTTGAAGCGACGGGGCCGCCTCTTCTGAAGATAACAATATTTGTTTTCTCAAAATTAACAGAGAGTTTCCAATCGTTTGTGTAACGTTCTAAGATACTGAGTTGATTTTGTAAGCCAGTAATAGTATTGGACACCAAGATCACATCATAAGCAAAAAAGTAGGATGAAAATTTCAAGCATATCAGGAAACATTTGAACGCCGTGTTTACCAGAGATTGTAATATCATAATACAGTTCACTTATAAAGAAAGAAAACAACACTGGACTTAAGATACAGCCCTGTCGTAACCCAATGGGACAATCAAAGAAGTCGGTTACATCATCACCACAACGTACACACGATTTTATGTTAGAATACATTGACTTTAGAATATTATACATTTTTCCTTGTAAACAAGATTTTTTTAAACAATACCACAATTTGGAATGATCTACAGAGTCAAAAGCTTTCTTGAAATCAACAAAAGCAACATATAATTTGTGCTTACTTCGTGAAAGACATTTTTGGATTATGGCATATAATGTGAAAATATGATCTGCAGTTGAATATTCTTTCCTAAAACCGGCTTGGCATTCAGGAATCAGGTTTCTCATATTTGACCAATTTGAAATTCTGTTATTTAATATGGTTGTAAATACCTTGCCTAAAATACTCATTAACGATATACCTCTATAGTTATCCGGGTTGTCTAAAGCTCCTTTTTATGTAATGGAACAATAATTGAACGAGACCAGTTATCTGGAAATACACCTCTGTCAAATATAGAATTGAAACATTTCCGTAGGAAGGGCATTAACTCGACCTCAGAACATTTTATCATTTCAATCACAACGTAGTCAGGTCCAGCTGCCTTGCCACTCTTTAAATGAGTAATCGCATTTTTAATTTCATCATCAGAAATTTGTGTTTCTAAAATCAATTTATCGATACTTTCATATTCCAAATCAAGATTGAGATCACGAACATCATCATCAAAAACACTGTTATCGTTCTGAAGAATAGAATCATTTGAGAACACTCTCTTAAAATGAATCAACCACTCAGGTTTGGAAATATTTATTTTAGGATTAGTTCGATTTCTAAAGGAAGGGATTTGTTTCCAAAATTTAACGAGATTATGGACACACTCATTAAGTCTTCTTAGGTTTTGATAACGCAACCTACCTTTATATATTCTACATGAAGTTTTGTATCTATTTCTCATTTTGCAAAAATATTGTCTGTTACTCTCAGTGCGAAAATGCTTTGCGAGCATCTCGTCTAGCAGTCTTGCAGTCTTTGTCTACTGTTGGCTTACTGCTCTGTTTGTTTGACTTAAATGTTTTCTTCATACATTCTGCTGATTCTAGTATAACGTGGACAAAATCATCTAAAGCACCGTTCGGATCACAATCAAGTTTTGACAGGAGATGTTCGTAACAAGAGAAGTAATATTACTCTGCAAAGTATCTAAATATGTTTTACTAAAAGACTCGTTTCAGATATATCTTTCTTTGGAATAGACATCTTTACAACCGTCACTCATATTTATCATATCTGGTAATAGGCAAGTCAATTCCAACGGTAAATGATCCGAGTCCACCCTTTCACCAACATTTAAGACCGGTATGTATAAATGGGAAAAAGTCAGGTGAGCAAACAAAATAATCGTTGACACTGGAACCCTGCTGGCCATTGTATGTATATTCGCCTTGTTCGTCTCCGTGTACGCTACCATTCACTATGAACAGTTTGAAGGCATAACATAAGTCTAACAACACTCTACCAAAACCGTTAATAACATTATCATGGGAATTACGATCTTCAATAGGGTAGGCATCATCATTAACATCATGAAATACATTATTCACATCATCATCATTAGACAAAGTCAATTAAGTTATTTTCTTTACCTGTACGTGCGTTGAAGTCGCCACAAATAAGAGTATGACACTCAGTCATGCCTTGAAGGTTATCTAAAAGATATCGTTCTAGTTGTTCAATATTACAGTTATACGTCTTACGTTTATAGTAAGTTGGTCCTGTCGGAGGGATGTATGTACATATCAGGTTGACATCTTTATCGAGAGAAAACAATTCCTTAGCAAGTTGAGACATAAAAAGTGGTCGAGATCAGTTGTTATGTGTTCGCATAAGTTTCTAAGACCATGATGGATACATATACAAACACCACCGGAATGTCTGCCATAGTCTGTAGCTTGATTGCAGGGCTATAAAATATATCATAACCTTCAAGCCAATCATAATTCAAGCCAATTATAATTCCTTTAAGAGCTTGCAGCTGCTGACGTTGGCGTGTGGTCAAATCACTGGATATACCATATCCGTCTTCCTTCAGAATAGGCCTGGCTTTCAGTGCTCGGACTTTATCGTCAGACACTTTCACAATGATCGGGCGTGGTTTGGCAGAGTCTGGACGCTTACGCCCAAGGCGGTGGGCACGGACAACGTCAGATGGT